CTATATTTAACATTATGTGTTTATTATGATGTGTTTTGCACACAGGTAATTATTCTTTCTGCTTCCCTAGGTGATGTATTTCTCTTCCATCTTCCCATACGTGGTGCTGTTCTGCTTTCTCATCCGAGGGCTCCTGCTGGATGGAGCGTTTGAAGGAATCGGCTTCATGTTCTACCCCAAGGTATCGGCAGAAAAAACGTCTGGTTCAGTGTAGAGAAGAGAAAGAGATATAAATAGTTCTTTGACACAGCTTTTGTTTCTGCAATGCAGTTGGAAATCTGGGCAGATGTGCAGGTGTGGCGGCAGGCAGCTACGCAGGTTTTCTTTGCGCTGGGCCTTGGCTTTGGGTCCATTATCGCCTACTCTTCCTACAACCCCAGGAACAACAACTGCCACCGTGATGCCTTCACCGTCTCCTTCATAAACTTCCTCACATCTGTGCTGGCTACTCTGGTGGTCTTTGCTGTCCTTGGTTTCCGAGCTAAAAACAGGGTCATGGAGTGTGTAGCCAGGTATGTTTAATTATAAGACTAAAATGTGTGTTTTGCATGTACCGTGTCATGAACACTGTTGATGTAGCTGAGGGAAATTGTGTTTGGATTTTCAAAATCAGAAATGTAATATTTTTCTGTATCCTGTTGTCCTTTTTATAGCAACTTGAATGACCTGTCAAAACACTTTCACGACGGTCTTGTGCCCAATAACGTGATGCCACCGTTTAACTACTCTGATCCCAAATCTGTGGCTCTGAAGGACTACAGTAACTGGTTCGAACAGTATGCATCTATGGTGCCTGGCAATTTAACAGACTGTGACCTGGAAAAAGAAATGCAGAAGGTAAACATTACGCTTCTTAGACTAGTTTCAGTTTGCTTACGTAGATGATGTTATAATTGGCTTGCAAATCATGATGACTAAAGCTGTGTTTATGTTCAGGGTGTGGAGGGAACAGGTCTAGCTTTCATCGCCTTCACAGAGGCCATGACCCTCCTACCTGGCAGCCCTTTCTGGTCCGCCCTCTTCTTTCTCATGCTACTCAATCTTGGACTCAGCACTATGTTTGGCACTATGGAGGGCATCCTCGCCCCCCTGAGTGAACGCTTCAAATGTCTGGCGAGGAACAAAACCAAGCTTACAAGTAAGAACCAGTTTTACCTCTTCTATTGTTTGAAAATTCATGCACGACTCAAGGCAATCGAAAAGATTGGTCGTTGACAGCTGTTAAACTGCACATCTGTCAATACTATAAAGCTCCGTAGCCACTGTACGCAATGAGAAGGAAGAACGACTGTCATATAACTTGGTATTAAATACATTAGATGGTTACCCAGGCAACCAGAGCCTGAAATGCCAGCAAGTGACCAGCCTTCACTTCAAAGTGACAAGTGAGGCGTTTCCAGTGTGTGCATTGCTTCAGACTTTGAATCTGAAACTGATGTCTTTTAATAACATTTTGACGTCATCCACTGAGTTCTGTTATAAAGGCTCTATGCTGACATTAAAGAAGATGTTTTTTTCTTTATAACAACATGTGTGTCTTGTTGCAGTTGCCAGCTGCATCATTGGCTTCCTGCTTGGCCTGCTCTTCACTCAGCGCTGTGGGAACTACTTTATGATGATGTTCGATGATTACTCTGCGACGCTGCCACTCATCATCGTGGTGGTTTTTGAGACTTTCAGTGTGTCTTGGTTGTATGGAGCTGATAGGTGAGGTTTCTGATTGTGGTTAAGTGAGGTGTGTTTTTAACCATAAATCTCACTAAAGTCTTGTGTACTTTTTTTCCCTTCTCACTAAAGATTCCTTAATGACATTGAAGGAATGCTGGGCTGGCGTCCCAGTGTTGTTTACAAATACCTGTGGAAATACATTTGCCTGTTTGCTATGCTTGGGCTGCTCGGAGCCACCACTATCCGCATGTTCCTGTCTCGCCCCAAGTATATGTCATGGAACCAGGAAAAGGTATCAAGTTATTTATTAACTTTATAAAAGTCTTGAACTACACTTCATTTCCTTATGAGAAAGAAGTGCAAGAATTTATTGAAGCATCTGCAAACATACATGCAAACGCAGTATATAAGGCAAAGACAATGTTTACAATTCTAACAGGCTTGAAAGCAGATATTTAATATGTCCACTTTCATCACAGCTAAGTTAGGAAAGCTTTTTGTGCAATGTCTTTAAGTAGTCTTCAGGAATAGTTCTTCAGACTTCTTGAAGACTACTCCAAGCTCTTCTTTTGATGTTGCCTTCCTTTTGTTCTGTTCTCTGTCAAGATGATCCCACACTCTGCTATAAGAATGTGGAGGTCTGTTCTTTGGGGAATCCATGACTGACAGTGCTGCACTGTGTGTTTTTGTTTGGAATCCCTGTCATGCTGAAAATGTAAACCCTTCATAAGACTTGTTGAAATTGATTTTTTTAGCATTAGACAAGAACTGGACTTGGCTCAGCCTTTTCTCCCCGTTTCTCCTCCTTAAGACACATTTTCACTGAGACAATTTCTGATGAAACTTTGGAAAACACTAGATGGATTAGCTGAAAGGCCAGGCTCAGTTCCTGAATCAGATATTTCCCCCCCCCATTTGTTCAGGACATTACTTTCAGATATTGCTCATCTGCTGTTGATAGTTTTTTTTAGGCCTGTCATTTCTTCTTTTGTCCGCCACTTGTCCGATTTCTTCATTTTTTAAAGAGCACACCGAGCTGAGAGTTATTAGCTCGTTGGGAATCATATTGTTGTCTTTTTTAAGCCTGTCGAACTGTTATGTTTGGCATTTTTCAAAGGATTAGATAAAGAAATGCAAAAAATGGTGTGTTTGCCACTGGTTGCTAGTAACAAAGTGCCTAGAATTTAAATTTGTTCTTTGCTAAATTGTCTCTTATGTGTCGACACAACACAGTGGAGTGACTTTTTTATGCTTGAACAGTTCATGGTCAGTGTTAAACGGCCAAAAAAGGACTTTTAGAAAGCCTGGAGAACTATTGCTCAAGACCACTTTAAAAAAGTATAAGAACGTCTGGCTCGTTGGAAGCAAAACATAAAGAAATGAGGGGTGGCTCCAGTCTACTGCAGATTAGTTTAGAAAGATATGCACTTTGTGATTGCAGGAAAGAAAACATCAGTTTGAGAAGAGATTTTTGGAGTTTATTTTTAATATCCTGAAGCTCAGTTTATTACTATCTTTCACAATACACTAAAGCTCTTAACTGTTTAACTTCCTGAATGATTCATTTGATTTTATTTTTCAGGCTTCTGAGGAGCATTTGGAATATCCTGACTGGGCTCTGGCTGTTTTGGCTTTATTAATAATATTTGCCACACTGCCCGTGCCAGTGGGCTTCATCCATGCGTTTCTACAGAAGAGAAACACACAAAGTAGGGATGCAGAGAATGGTCACTACAGGATGGTTAACACTGAGGAAACTGCTATGACTGACCTTTCAGCACTGGAACATAGGAATGGGGACGCTGCTCCGGTTTCCTAAACCCTCAACAAATGGGCTGTATTTAAGGAGAAGGAACTTGTCAGTGATATATAAGCTGATGCATTATAAAGGGACAGTCATTTTGTTACTGAGCCTTGCAGTTACCTCACTTGTTCAAAATCAGAAACACATCTACATAATGCCAGCTGTTAAACTGCATATCCGTCATGGCCTCTGTGAAGGCGGTGAACTACATTAAAAGAGGAAGTTAAGCAAGAAAGATGAGCCACAGTGAGCTGCACAGCTTCTCTGCTGTTGCTCACAGAATGATGGAAGAAGCTTGATTGTAATCCAAGGTCTTCACTAACAGGACATGAGTTCCCAGGAGTCTGACCTGTAGTATTAAACTACGTTTTCTGTTACTGCCACTAATTACAGATGCTGCCAAATTCGTCAGAAATATTCCAAACGGCCATTTTAATATTTTCCTTTCTTTTTAAACTTTTAAAGTCAAACTAGATCTAGATGCTAAAGATGCTCCAGCAGCTTTTAAAAAGTTTGTAGTATGGAACAGATAATTTATTGATTTGTGAAAACTATTGGGTAAAATTTCCATTAAGTTATTTTTTACCAAAGTTAGTGTCCAAAGAAGCAAAAATATGCTTTTAATATAAGCTGTAAATATTCTATGATCCCAAAGCCAGTGTTGGAAACCAGGGTTTGGACCATCAGAGCCTCTGCTCCTGACCACTGCCCAGTCCACAATGTACGGAACCCCACAGTACCTCCTGCTGGCCCCCTCACTGAGGACAATTTTGCTGTGGGGGAACGTACGAGGGGCTATATTCCTAATGGGTGTTCAACTCTACTGTGGCTAACAAAGGGAGTGAGACAAAGGAGGCCCTGGGTCAGATCTATGAGACAGAGGAAGTGTCTGGGGAGACGGACAGAGGTCTGACCATCTCTGCTATGCAGCAGCCCCTGAAACGCAGATCCAGAAACGGCAGAGGATGATAAACATTTATGTTATAGTTGTTTTGTTAACGTTGTTACATAGTTAACATTCATTTACATCGTCCTTTCACTCTCGTAGTTTCTCTTCTTTCTGTTGGTCATTCATTATGATAACCTGAGAATTGTGATTGATCATGAGCCGGCTGAGCTACCGCGTCATTAACCTGTCACTGCTGTCTCTGTTGAAGTCAAACTTGTAGCGACTGCTAAGTATTTTCACTGTATGTTTATATTTTTCCTGAGCAACTTGGATTAATACCTACAGTACAACACTGTGCAGGTTTACTATCACGTTTACTCCAGATATGAGTCGCTTTAGCTACGTATGCTGCTGTTCAGCACAGCATGTTTACAGTCAAAAAAACAACCGAGACCAGACTCTGTGTTTGAACTCGATAAGACATTTTACACTACGTAAGCAGGTGTAGCTGCCCAGGTTATAATAAACATGCAGGCTAGCATTATTTGTTCAAGGACACAGTTGATAAGTGTGTGGTGAGGTTTTTATGTCCTCTGTTTTTTAAACTCTTCGGTAACAAAGTCAGTGCAAAACAAAATCTGCACATCTGTGTATTTAGAGTACAAAGACTGACTGAAGCTGTTGTCAAGTGACATCATGCTCATGCAACAAAAAGATAAAAAGATATTTATATGATGTGTATGTATGTAAATGGTACATGTAAAATAGTTTTTATTGCTAAACATTTGAGTAGTTTTTTTGTAGTTGTAAATGGAAAATTGCCTAAAGGACCTTTTGTGTATGTTTTTTGTAAAGATTAATATATTTTTTAGACTTCATTGCTCTGTGATATCGTCTCACAGCTGCAGTGTGTTTTCTGGTTTAGTTTTTCCGTTTTATCAGGATATAGTTGAATAAATTGACTTGATGGATCATTATGCTGTTTAATCCCGGGGGCCTTTAGCTCTAATAGGGCAGAATGAACAAACCGTTAAAAGCATCCTAGCATTCTTGTAACTTTAAAAACATTTCTTTTGACATTGCAGTAGTGTTCAAAATGTATGTAAGATACTATTGTTGTATTATTTGTTGCTGTTCTTTTCTTAATAAACTTTAGCATCTCATTCGTGTTTTAAAGTTCATAAAGTTTTGATAGATAATGGAAAAAGTGTAGATTTCTGCTGTCCTGTTCTGCACTAAAACATGCTCTTTCCACTACCTGCTGGGTGTTGTTGCCCATCAGCACAATTATTTTTCTGGGAAAGTTGAAGCATATCGAGACCCGCCGAGAGGTAAATGTCTGTGCAGCTACAACAAAAATGATACAACGACAATATGAACATTTGTTTTTCTTACAGCCTTTCTTTCTGTTACAGCTGGAAAGAGTAGAAGCTCTTTCTGACTCTTTCCAGCTGTAACAGAAAGAAAGAACATAATACTTTTCATTTTCTATAAATCCCCAGCAGCTCATTTACAGGAGTGCAGGTGAAATGAAACATGAGGGGGTGGGTCTATTGTAGCTTTTGCTTTCAAATCCGTGTTTTAATTGTCAGATAAAGAGAACAGTCAGTGCTTTTCTTTGTTTTGTTTCTCTTTCTTATCTCTCAGTCCTTAAATAGTCTGAGAGTTCTTGCAGGGCTGCAGGCACGTTAAGGTTCAAACTGCTTAGATCAGGGGTGGAGAATTCCAGGCCTCAAGGGCCTGGGTCCTTACCCCGGGTCAACACACCTGAATCAAATGATTAGTTCATTACCAGGCCTCTGGAGAACTTCAAGACTTGTTGAAGAGGTAATTCAGCTGCGTTGGATCAAGGACACATCTAAAACCTGCTGGACACCGACCCATGAGGCCTGGAGTCCCCACCTCCCTGGCTTAGATGATTAACTGTCAGAATATTAAGCTGAAAGGGCTGTACGTCTCTGCTCACTCCTAATATTCAGAGTGTAACTACACATTTAATACATTTGAATCCTGAAAAAGAAGTTCAATTTTCCCACATGATAAATACATGCTGCTGTAGTAAGTGAAAAAAGTCTGTCAGCATGCATCTTTGAACATTCATTGTAAGAAATAAATATAAAATGACAGGAAAATTTCTGTCAATTCATTGCCAAATTTGTCAGAAATTTTTATTATAGATAGTGAAAAAATGGGAACTTTCTATCATTTTATTGTTCATCTACATCTTATTCGTCTTGGTGTCGTATGAATGACAAGGGGGGAGGTCTTAATCGGTAGGCAACACACAAAAATTGACCTTTTTAAAATCAGTCCAGTGGGTCTGAGTGTTTGTCTTATGTTTGACTCCTCGGCTCTGCCATAAGTGCATTTACTAAAGGTAAGGTAAGGTAAAGGTTAAAGGTCAAGTTTTCTGAAAAATCTTGGGAACACAAGTTAATGAGTTTAAACAGACCTTTGACAAAAACAGGCAATGAAGTTCAGACACTGTGTGGTGATGTGTGCTGTCCTAACAATACATGTAAGAACAGACTGTGATTAAGATTAAGAGCATTCATACATTAAGACTTAGTGAATTATGTTTGCCTGTGGTGACACAGGCAATTCAGAGGCGACCTGGCAGGCATGTGCTCTACAACTTCATGAAGACTTGCGCCCCCTGTCAGGAGGCTGAGGTGTAGCACCTGAGGCTACCAGTAGTTTTATTTCATTTCAACTTTTTCTATTGTAGCTCAGTTCAGATTCTGTTTCCAGAGTACATTTTCTTGTTAATATAAATATTATTATTTTAAGTTCACAAAATAATTTCGTTTAGCTATATTTTTTTCCAAAAGCCTAGTTTTCATTTTTATTTTAGTTGACTAAAGTGTTTAGTTTTTAGTTTAGCTTTAGTTTTTTATAATAACTTTGTTAATCATTGCAGTATATCACACAGTCAGTTAAACTTCGGAGATATCAGTCTGTGCAGTTAGGAAGCATCAACCATAGTGACTCCATTTCACCTGATGCACTTGAGCGACTACAACAAAACAGTCTTTAAAATGTTTTAGCAGGTGCTGGACACAGACGATCTTCCTGACTGACTTCTGCTGAGGACTCAAATCAGCAACAGGAGCAGCAGACAGTATCTGGTCTTGCAGGAGGAGCAGTGCCAGTGTGCATACCTCTCTAGACAATGATTGACCCATTGCCAAACCGGTCATGCTGGATGATGTTTCAGGGAGTGCTCTGCCGTATTATTAATCATGAATTTGCTCTCATCTGTGAAGAGAACAGCATTCCTTGGCTGGACTGAAAGCTCTGGTGTTCTCTGGTGAAAGCCAGTGAAGCTACATGGTGGTGCTGGGCTGTGATCGCGTGTCCCACTAACGGACATTAAGACCTCGTGACACAGTCATAGAGTCTGTTTCCCCACAATATGGTCTGAAACTTGAGTAGCCTGCTGGAGGTCATTTTGTGCTCCTCCTTTTCTTCATCACACAAACGAGTACATATCGGTTCTGCTGCCCGGTTGATGCCCTTCTGCTGCTCTGTCCAGCTACTCTAGTGTGCTGGCCCATCTCCTTATTTCCTCCACACTCTTGAGAGTGTGCTCAGAGACACAGCAAACCTTCTTGTGCCATGATAGAGGAGCTGCACGACCTGTGCTACCTGAGTGTGCTGCAAAAACCATTTCATCCAACCAGCAGCAAAAACAGAGACACAGCTCTGAGCTGTGACCAAACATTATAAAAATGTTTGGTCAAAAATAAAAAATAAACATTATAATTAACTGTAAATCATGCAAGGCAACTCATGTATGAGTCAGAAAGACAATGTGGAGCTGGAAGCAGGCGTAATAACTCCACCTTTATGATTGTACATGCTTTCTACTTTCTACATTATTTAGCATCTGTCTGAATCACTACAGATGATGAAAGAATACATGAATTTCACAGACACCTCTTTAATGTTCATATTTGTCCAGACTCTTCCTGACTTTGTGCATAGCAGTAGTTTTAACGCTGTTCTGTATGATTTATGCAGTTACTTTAAAAAATATCTATTAGAGAATAATACTAGCAAATAGGTTGATATTTTGAACTTTCACAAGTCATAGTAATGGAAAAAAGATATCTGTGTCTACCTGAACCTAGCACTTGCCACATGTATATGCTTGGGCGTGCTCACGTATGTCCCCTTGGAAATATTCAGTGTCTGGGGACTTCAGTTGTCTTGGATGCAGTCTCAGCTCAGTTGTTGAGAGAGGCAGGGGGGAAGGGACCAACGCCCAACTCTGAGAAAAACGGCAGCCTTGGTTTGACCTCAGGTAAGCACAGATAATTTATCTTAAATATTATTATTTTGTCACAGTAAGTGAATATTTGATAGACAGTTAAATGGTTCCAGATATGTGTTTTTAAAGCAGGAATGGGTCTGGTTTACAACATGAAAATTATTACTGTAGAAGAAAGCATCTGCAGTTCTCTTTTGATCATTTGAGTTTGTCACCATAACTGTTGTACAATGCACAGTATTGCGCAAAAGTCTTGAATTATCCCTAATTTCTTTATATTTTGTTAGGAAAATTGGAAATAGTTGCAGTAATCTACTGAAACACTTGCAAACAAGTATACAGAGCACAGTTTGTACAATTCAAATGTGCGTGAAAGCCAATATTTGTCTTGGACACTTTTATTCTTCAACATAGGCTGAAGTTTTCCTGTAATTTCTTTAAGTAGTCTTCAAGAATAGTTCTCCAGGGTTCTTGAAGAATATTCAAAGCTCTCCTTTGAATTTTGGCTACCTTTTGTTCCATTTCTGTCAAAAGGATCCCACACTACTTCAATAATGTTGAGGTCCGAGCTCTGGGGAGGCCAATCCATGACTGATAGTGTTTCAATGTGTGTTTTTCTATCCAGTTATGCTTTGGCAGTATTTCTGGGATCACTGCCATGCTAAAAAATGAATGCTCCATAAAACCTGTTTCCTGATTTTCAGACCAGTTCTTGTGTGGTTTGGCGTCCCTCAGAATTTATCTTGACTGCTAATCATCTGCTATGGGCATTCTTTTAGGTTTGGCACTTTATCTGTTCTTCAATTTGTCCTCAAAAGTCTCCTCCAAATTCTTAAGCACATACTGCAGATTATCTGCCAGGTTTTTAACCAATAACACTGAGAATCCCCCGTTTGGTGCAAAAATACAATTTTATGCCTGTCAAACTGTTTTAGCCTTGGCATTAAAAAAAAAAGATCCAACTAAAGAAATGGGAACAAATGAAAAACTACTAGTAATAAAGTGTTAAAAGATTCAGTGTAAGTTGTATGTTATTTGTAGACAAGACACTGGTTCATCCATTGAGTCATGTGCCTTTTTATGGTTGACTGAGTCATAAGTCACTGTTAAAAGGCTTACCAAATGAACAAAAACAGGTCAGGTACACAACTGGACTGAAAGTGAGTGAAAAACCAAAGAAAAACTTTGAAAGACCTTCAGAAAGCCTGAAGAACTATTGCTCAAGAAACCAAAACATAAACAAAAACAAGAGATGATTCAACACTTTTGCACAGTAATGTATATGTTTCACTTTTAACATGAGTAAGATGCAGACTAATGAAGCAAAGGTTTTGTGTTTTATTATTATTTTTATTATAAGCATTGTTTTTATTTGTAGGTGTACTCATAGATGACCAACATGGCGTGCCTGGCGGCTCTGTGTCTCCTGTTTATTTTTCCACTGAGCAGCTCCCAGAGCACGCTGGAGTCTGAGCAGAAAATCAGCGCCCATAAGGCCCCAGGAGCAGCTCCTCCTCCTCCACCTCCACCCCCACACATAAGGGACCTACTCCAAAAGGAGGAAACCAATAATTTAAACGCAATGCGGACATGTAAGTGTGTAAACACTGGTGAAGAGAGCTTCATGTTCACTGCCATCCAGCAGTGAGACAAGATAATTAGTTAAAAATTGTACCATGTAAATCCATGTAAATTCTTCCTTTAAAAAAAAAAAAACTTGAACAATTTTTTTAGATTAAATAAGTATCACTCAAAGTTAGATATATACTTTTCAATAGGAGTGTATGGCCCTAATATCATCATGATATCACCTTTGGTTAGGGTTAATAGGAAAGCATCAATATGAGCCATGTCAGGCTGGGCAGAGCACAACGTGTGCAGGGTTACACCGTTGTAGGGATCACTACATCTTTTCAAGACAGACAGGAAGAAAGGGGAGCAACAGCAATGACCAGCCGACGCTTATTTGTCAGCTTCAGTCTGCACTTTAATGCATTAACACTGCAGTGTTCTGTGTGAGTATATGGAAAGTTCAATGTTTTCAGTAAGAGCTTACAGACTGCAGATTGATCCGTGCTGTCAAGTGCATTTCAAGTTCACTCCACTGATGTTTTGTTATATAAAAATAATATGTTTTCTATTACAATGTGATGCTGCTTATAGTTCAATTTAAAAAGTACAGGCTGACTAGTTTGGACAACACAGAAGAGTTTACATTAACTTCAAGTAATTGGAGAGAAAGTTAAGTTATACCCACTGAAAATATTTGAGTGGCTCAGTTTGGACAGCTAAATGTAAAGTGTTTATAATCAAATGGCACATGTATTGTTTGAAAAATTAGACTTCTGGGAACTATTTAGGATTTTTATATTGCAGTTGCCTGAATTGGCAGTGCTAAATGTTGAATTCCTGTCCATCTCAATTTTAAAAGGATTTTTACGTGAAAGCTCTGATGAACACCGTCTTGTGTTTGTGCCTCTGCAGATGCCCTTGTAGACAAAGATAACGCCAAAGTGGGTCTGTTCATCGCAGCAGCCATGGGAACATTTGCTCTGATGGCTGCAGTGTACTGCATCTACAACAAGTTCTACACCAAACAGCAGTACATGCACACCCAGCTCAACAATGACCCAGGTAGCTTTGATTGTTTCTGAGGTAGAACCATGTTCAATTTGAGTGGGAAACAGAAATGATCAGAACCTGTGTGGCAGCATGTGAAACTATTCCTGAGAGACTGTCAACAGCAACACTTATAAGACACTTATAAATTATCATCAGCGGGAAAATTACTCTCTCATCTTTTCTGTCTGATTTGTTGATAGCAAAGCATTTCCTGTTTGCTGCTGTTTAGAGGCAAAGTGATGCTTTAGTGTGTGGAAATGCAAATCTGTAATTTATACGCCATAAACAAGACTGATTATGTTTGATTTTCTGTTGTTTTGGAGTCTTGTCCTTACATTATCTTAAGGCTAAAATCTAAAAAAGCTTTTCTATTTAAAGAAAACTTTTAAAAGTGCATCTTATTTTCTGTCTGCAGACACAGACTCCCTGGACCCTCCCCCTGTGTTCTTTCACGCCTCCGTCAGCTCCAGTGTAATGGACCTGCAGAAAGCCGGTTACGGCTCCCTCTCGGACACTCCATCCATAATTTCTGTCCCACCCAGTCTGTCCCCTCCTCCGTCTGCCATGCCCCTGCCTGCCCTCTTCCTCTCCTCTCGCTCTCTTAGAACTATATCAGCAAAGGATCTGGAGAAGAGTTACATATGACATGCTTGTGTAGGTTACTGTTTTTGAATGATGGATAAGGGAGTAGTTACAGTTACTTGAATGTTTGTGTTGTTTTTTTTGTACACATAGACTAATTTTTGATTTCACTCAACAGCAGTAAAATAAAGAGGAAACTAAGGCACAGCTTAGCGATATACGGCACCTTCACATCCAGTTCTGTTAATGTTAATCATGACTTCCTTTACCCTCACTGCCCATTATTCTCATTCACAGTCATATGCATGAACTGTAGTCATTTTTGCCGTGTTTTTGTTTATTACACATAATAAACTAGATATTACCAGCATCTTATCAAAGCTGCACCACCCTCTAATTAGAAAATAAACTCTCCAAATTTAAAAAAAATAAACCTAACACGCCTGATTTAATCTGTGCATGTTAAAGGAATACAGACTCTTGGACTGGGAAAGGTGTTTTGCCTCTTTAAAACTATCTTGACTACTGTTTTAGAATTGATATTTTATGTATAATACTTTATATTTGATGATTTTGAAAATATAAAGTTAGGTACATCTTTAATATTTAGATAGTAAGAAGATTTTCTATAGTGTCTCTGCACACCACCACAGTGGTTCCTACATCAAACAACCATGATGTGATTGAATTGCAGACGTTCAGCTTTAATTCAGGGGTTTAACAAACATAAATAACATTACATTTAGGAAATTCAAGCCAAACAAAGCTGAAGGCTGAAGATTAATGACAGACTTTTAAGCAGTTTTCACTGGAACTGTCAAAGAGATGCTGGTTAATATGAAGGAAACCATTGTTGGGTTGAAAAAAAAAAGCCCAAATAAATCTATCAGAGAAGCAGCAACAACTTTATGAGTGGCCAAATCAACAATCAGGCACAGTTATAAAACAATGAACGCAATGGCGAGTTTCTCGAGGTAAAGAAATGCCACGAAACTGCTTCTCAGTCAGTTGTCAAGTTATATCTGAGCCTCTAAAAATGAGGGACTGTTTATAAAAAGGGCTACTATTGTCCAAATCCTCATGAACCTAGTTGTATATGCAGCACTTCCAGTGTAAAGAGACTGGAAGATAAAATCAATACTGACACTTTTGTTGATGGACAAACGAAAATGTGATTTTAAAAGACCGACCCACGTACATAAAATACTTCAATGCAGTTTTTCTTTTTCCACTTTTTCTATCTACAGTATACAGTTACATTAAGCCTGTTTTACGCTAGTTTAAACATTTCTATATGTAAAACAAATGTCTCGAAAAGAAAGCAGCTCGCCAATACGCACCAAATAAGTGACTCCATTAACTTATAATGACATATAGCAGCCCTGCCTCTGTCCCTGCTGGTAAGGTGCAGATCATGAAGAGATCAAGACTGGTCATAAACGCGAAAAAACCTGCAATCTAATCCACAACCACTGTCCCGAGGTGAGTCTGCGTACCTTCTTACAAATACCCAGAAGCTCTATTAATATTCTTGGTGGTACAGTGTTTACACTAACTCCCCATTCAAGGCTTGTGCAGTCCAAGAATAGCCGCGGCTTGGATAGTCGGTGCTTAAAACGAGGAAGGAAGTGCCGTATACCTTCCTCTCACTACACACTTGGAGAGATTAGCGGCAGCAGTAATCTGTTTCAGGACCATGGCCAGAGACAACGTTTGGATATGAATCTTATCGAAAGTTTCCTACGACTCTCTGTGAACCTTTACGGACACCAAACAGTGTGACGAAGTTTGTTTGGACAGGGTATCCGGAAAAGTGGGGCTGAACATGCATATTCGACTGGTTTTATATAAAGGGACTTGAAGGAGGCTCAGTCAAATCTCTGGACAGTCTGTCGCTGATTACGAGTCTCGTTTCACATGAAAGCGTGAGTTACGAAAGCTGGTGACCCAACCAAATCGGTTCTTTTAATGTGAGTAAGAAGCAAGAAGCCGGGAAGCAGAGGAGAAAGGCTGTGCGCTCAGTCGGGAGCGCGCAGAGACTGCACATTGGGCCGGTCCTGGAGACGTGAGGATGGAGGTCCGGCCGGACAGGTTTAAGGCCGTGGCAGCCAAAACTCTTGGGAAAATATACGGGTATGTAAAATCTCCTCCTCAGGGAACAGAAACAGAGCAGAAACATCTGCTGGATGACCTTTAATGTTAAAAAGGAGCTTTGTGTTTAGCGGTTAAGCTGCGGACCTGAGGGGAAGTTCAATCTTACTGATGCTGAAACATGGCCTGTTAGTCTATCAGTGTTTCTATTAAGAAGATTTAAAGAAATATAATGTCCAGAGGCCCGAATCAATAATATGGAAATATGTGTCCGCTTATAAATCTTTCATATAAGAAATGTGTACACAATAACTCGCTGTATGTGGCACTGGCGACTTAAAGTAGCTGATAAGAGATTAAAAAAGAAACCCAAATTAATTTTCAAACTCTCTTTTATAAGCAGTGTGTATCATTCTTTGTTCCCGAAGAACAAAAAAACAGAATGAAGTTACATTTCAGGCTCAAAATGTTCTCTCAGTGTAAGATGACGCGCTGGATCGATATTTGGATCCATTTCTCCTAAGCTTGCCGTGCTCTTACATTGTCACATTACAGAGACACTGTGACACCGTGTGTGTGTGTGTGTGTGTGTGTGTGTGTGTGTGTGTGTGTGTGTG